TCTATGAATACATTAAGAACAATGGAACTGTGCATTTTATTTTTATTTATTTTTTAGGGCACACATTATTTTAAATTTATTGTTTTAGTTCATTACAAAAAAAATCAACTCCAGCTATATGATAATTTGCTCTTAAAATGCAAACAACTTTGTTATAATAGTACTTTATATAAAAAGGAAGTTGTGCGATAGTTTGCAGGAAAACGGAATACAATAACAAGTATGTAGGCCTGGGAATAGTTTTCAAATTTGCAGCAGATACCAAATAAATCTTATATGATTGACAGTTGTTTAAGCAAACAAAAGAAAACTCTGGTTCGAGCTATCAAAAGGATAAAGACAAAAGGCCCTTCTATCTCAAATCAATCCGGTTTTGAATGGCATCTTTTCAGCATAATAAAGACGTATATAAAAAAAAAGAAAAAATACCTTCCCATTCTTAAACACTTCCTTTCAGTCCATATGTACTTTAAATAATCTTCTATTGTTTCTGCTGCAACTTTCAATGTTCAAAGTAAATCCACAGTGTTTTAATAAGTCAGTAGTAGGAGTAGGAGCATAATATAGTAGTTTCCCTGTTATTTCCAGAGTCTATAAAATCCCTGTGCTATTACCAGGCAAGTAAACACTGAGGCTGCAAGATAACGAATCGTCTCAAGCTTCTCAGACTCCATCAGCATTTTTAAAGAAGCAATTTCAGTGTCAATTGTGTTACCAGTCCCTGAAATAATACTTCTGGTTGTGGTATCTTTTCTGATAAATTCTGTGGTTGCTTCCATAAGTTTCTTTTCTTGATCATATCTGTGACTCTGCTCCTTTCCAGGTTGATATCCAGTTTATTATCTGCTCTGATTCGACTAGTTTCATCTATCAGTTATTGCTTAACTTGTTCTAATTCAATTTTCATTTTCTGGTTCTCTGCTCTCAGATTTGCAAATTCACTTTTCTCTAGGATGACCATGTCTTTCCTGATGGAGTCCAAATGAGTCATTAGCTGTTGTACGGTTATTTCCTATTGAGCTTGAGTGGCTATCTCCTTTATAGATAGTATCCAAGCTGATACTTGATAAAATGGTTAATGCTGATACAGTTGTTTCTTCTTGTGTTTGTCAAATCCATGAGTTTCCAAGTCCTGAACCAATACATGGGTATCAAAATTTAATTTTCTTTGTCCTAAAGCAGTTATGTCCACTTGCCTCATATCATATCCTTCCTTGGTTGTGGTGGTGAAGAAGTCTCTCCGCAGGACAGGCAAGAAACGCCCGCGGGGAGTTGAAGCCCAGCGGCCCCTACTGTCTTCGGAACCCAGGAGCCGCCAAACCCGGCGACTCCATGTGTCCACGGTTTTCCGGCGGCCGGAAGGGGCGAAAAGCTAGACGAATAGCGCACAAGCTTCCGGGCAAGGAAGTTCTGGCACCGCGAGGATGCTGGGAAATGTAGTTTCCGGCCTGTCACAGGAACACCTTCCGGTGCAGGCTCGCACCGCGGTCTCGCAAAGCCGGGCCTCTTCACACACGGACCCACATTTCCCTAGCACGGTTCAGAGCGGCTCCGCTTCTCCCCCCGCCCCTTCCCAGCTCTGCACGCCGTTACCGCCCTAGGAAAGCGGAATCTTGTTTGAGAAATTTCAGGCGCCCGTTCTCTGGCAACGAGGTGTACACCTCAACAGTCAGGTCCCGACAGAAAGCCAGGGGCCATTAAGAGTTTAAATCGGTGGAACTGTGCACTTTAAAGGGATGAATTGTGTAATATGAAATTGTAACTCAGTAAAATTGTTAACGGAAAAAAAGAAGAAAGCTATCAAATCAGTGAACTGAAGGTCCACATTAATCACCCATAAAATAAGTCCAACTTAAACTCAAAAGAAATAGGAAGGAAATAATAATAGGAGTAGAAATCAATTGAATACAAACAATGAAAGGAACTGACAAACCAAAAGATGATTCTCTGAAATGATCAATACAATTAATAAAATACAATTAACAGACCAAATTTAAAAATAAAAAAAGCAACCAAAAATACCAATATCAAGAATTAATGGTGGGATATTACTACAAAGTCTGCAGCTATTAAAAGAACAATAAGGAGATCTTATGAATAATTTTATGCCAATACATTTGACAACTTAAATAAAATTGACAAATTCCTTGAAAAATCCTATTTGGCTAACAGACACAAGATGAAAAGATAATCTGATTTATTCTATATCTATTTATGAATTGGAATTCATTACCTAAAATCTTACCACAATGAAAAAGCAGGCTCGTGTAGTTTCATTGATGAATTCTATAAATATTCATGGAAAAAATAACACCAATCATACAAATTCTTTCAGAAAATATGAGGCAACACTTCTTCATAACCTTGATACCAAAACTTGACAAAGACATTACAAAAAATATATAGTGATGAATATCCACTATAAATATACATGCAAAAAATCCATTTTTTGTTTAAAAAAAAATCCTTAATTAAATAATAGCCAATTGAACCCAATAATATTTAAAGAAGATAATGTATCATGATCAAGTTTATTCCAGGAATTCAATTCCTGGGTTTTATTTCAGGAATACAGTTGGATTAACATATGAAAATTAATCAGTGTTAGTCACTATATTAACAGTGTGAAGAAGAAAACCTATATGGACATGTTAACTAATGCAGAAGAAGCATCTGACAAAACCTAACACCCATTCATGATAATAAAGTCATTATATTAGGAACAGAAGGGACCTACCTCAATCTGATAAAGTTCATGTATAAAAAGAACTACAAGTAATATCATTTAAAGTGGTAAAATATTGAATGCTTTTCCTCAGTGATTGAGACCAAGACCAGGGGTGTTCATGCTGATCAGTCTATTGAGGATTGTACTCCGGGCCCTGGACATTGCTGTGAGTCAGTAGAGAAAGGCATAAAGACCAGGAAGGAAGAAATAGAACCATCTGCATTTGCAGGGAACAACACTAGAATTAATAAGTGAATCTAGCAGGTCACAGGTTGCAAGTCAGGGAACATAGGAGGCAGTAGGATTGTGTGAGCAGAAAAAGGAGACACAGCCATTGCCTGAACTCAGAGAAAGCCCAGTCTGGAAAACGGAGGAGTGGAGGGACACACATTAGCACAGCTGTCTCCATGTTCTTGAAAGAATTTTATGTGGAAGAAGGCTGCATTTTACCTGGTTTAGATCCAGCCAGTCACACTGGGCTCAACATAAGCTGTTTCCGTTTCAACCTTCTTCTTAAAATTTAACTTCCTAACTTAAAACAAATCTCAAATTACAGAAAACTTTGAGAACAAGCCAAGGACAGAGTGTACATCATCCCCTTAACACTTCAGTGGGGATTTCCAATGAATAAGAACATTCTCCCCCATAACCACAATACAACCTTCAAAATCAGAAAATTAACATCAAAAGCAGACCCCATTCAAATTGTCCAGTTGTCCCTATGAAATCATTTACTGCACAGAGATCCCATCCTGAACTCCTTTTTCATCTTTTTGGTATTTAGTGGGACATTGACAAGACTGTTTTTGAGGACAGGTTGTCAGGTACCTTTTTATTTTATTTATTTACCCATTTATATGGATATTAGACCATTTTATATTTTTCCTATGTGTCTTTCTGGCTGAATTGTGCCCCCCAAAATTCGTATGTTGAAATCCTAATCCCCAGTAACTCAGAATAAGACTATATTTTTAGAATCTTTAATTAAAAATATTATTCAATTTATTTAAACTGAAAAATGAAACTAAACAAAACAGGTCCTCCATTTCACATACACACACCCCAACTCTTGCAACCATGAACTATGAGCCTGGTTTTTTTGATTTTTGTTTTTTTGGTTTGTTTGTTTTTTGTTTTTTTTTTTTTGCTTTTTTCCCCTTTCTGTTTATGGAGGATGATTTACTCTGCTTTGAACCAGGCTCACCAGTGAGATTTCTCCTTTCAGTGGGAGAGGTTTTTATAATAAGTGTTCCTTTTTCTTTCTCTTTATTTTGTATCATTAAATCTGACATGTACTGTAACAGACTTTGCTAGAACTTTTTTTTTTTTAACAAGTATTTGTACCTGCATTGTGTCATCAAATGCTCATACACCCTGTAGGGTAGAAAGCCCAGGGCCAACAAAGAAGAGGGGAAAGATTCTGGCTTGGAAACAGCACTGTGGAGTCTGTGGCAAGAGCCCAGATATCAGAGGCTCAATGCAGATACTGGAGGATGAGAGGGAGGGTAGGGGAAGACGCTTGGGAACTTGGAGGAGTGAGCTGGGGGGTTGGTAACTACTTGGCCCTGGCAAACTAGGGAGATGGGACAGTCCAGGGTGACTTGGACACCAGGCTCTGAGCCTGGTGACAGGAAATACTGGACTGTGAATGGTGACCCCAGTTTATGAAATCAGGGACCTGTTGCCATGGAATCATGAAGATTAAAAATAGGACTTGGGTATATTCATCTACAAAATAAAGTGTTTGACCTACATAGTTACAGCCAGGCCACCTTCTTTCTCCTGGATGCCACTTATATAGAGAGGGGGGTTGCTATTTACCAGACTCCGAATGTTCTATAATGTAGAACTTCAGGTTTATAAAATACGAGTGACAAAAGGAAATTTAGACAACCAAGCTAATATATTGATTAATTGAAGTCCTTAAAAAGGAGTTCACAACAGGAAAATATGATGTTCATCCTTTGCTTCTAAATAAATACTTATTTGTAATTCGATAGTAAATTGATCATTAACCCACACTTACATGAATATGCCCAGGGCAAAAAGTCTCCAGGGTCTGGTTCATTCTCCCAGCACTTAAATCTGGAATGTGCAGGTCAATCTGACAATCCGGTGATTTTTCTAACAATTCAAGGCTTCATGGTTGACAGTTCACTCTCTACAATACGTCCTGGGCACCCACTCTGTGCCTCGCAGGGCTGCCCGCGCTCGGCGGATCGTCGGGGGTTTCCTTCCTGGGAGTCGGTGTCGTCAGGCCTGCTGCGGGCCCTGGTCAGTGAAGAGTGGGGAAGAGTAGAGATGGGGGTGAGCAGGAGGCCGTAGTTGGAAGGCCGGGGGTAGTTCAGAGTTTAGGAATGGGTGGGGCATTTTCCCGGAATGGGGCAGAGACAGGAACTTTGAGCAAATACTTAATCTCCACCCTGCTCACCATAGAGCATTTGGGACATGCCCTGTCCCCGTTTCCCAATGGCGCAAACGCGACTGAATGAAACCGCATCCCGGGGTGTATCGGTCGCCAGAGCCGGGAGTCAGTCTCCCCATTGGCCTCGCGGGCCTCCGTTCCTGAGCCACAGGTGATTGGCTAGACCTGGCTAATGTTTACATAAACCCGACCATATAAAGTAGGCATTTGCTCATTCGTGCGCCCGAGTAGCGCATCCGCAAGGTATTCAAGTAGTGGCAGGCTGGGTCAGTAGACCTTAGACTCCAGTCCCGCGCATCTGCCAAGCGGCAGGGACGATCCAGTGCCCCACGAAAGACACTGCCGATTCCTGATGGCTCTGCAGGCGGTCACTCCGCAGTGGCCGGGACAGCGAGCGCTCCCCGACCGCACCGGGCAGCGGGGACAGAGCGCACCCGCCCTCTCGGGCGCCCAGGCCGGGCGCACCCCTGGCCTCAGGGCTCTCATCTTCGCCGTCTTGGGCTTCGTGCTGTTGGTGAGTCCCCGCTGCGTGTCTTGGCTCGGGAAGGCGCGCCTCGCGGCCGGGAGGGAGCGGAGAGGGGGTCCTGCCCCGATCATGGGGCATGTCGGGGCAGGACCCACCCGGGCAAAGTCGGGGTAAGAGCCCGGAAGGACCGACCGCGGCCAGAAGACGAGTCCGCGCTCTGGCTCCTTGCGGGGTCCGGCCTCCAGACTGGTCTCAGGCCCGTCGAGCCTCAGAGAGTGAGAGATCGTCTTTTCTTTCTTTCTCTTGCCCTTTCCTCCTTCCAGATCCTCTTCACTCTTTCTCTCTCTTCATTTTGCCCTACATTTAAATTTTTTAAAGTTTTATTTTATTGAGTTATAGTCAGTTTACAGTATTATGCCCTACGTTTCAATTCTAAAACTCAAATCTATGAACTGTGTAGGCCCCTCCCCCCCTCCCCCCACTGCTGCCTTAAGCACCTTAAAGTTCCTTTCCCCCTAAAGATCTTTTAATCTTGGGAGCAGTCTTTAAAGTTGCTTCCTGTTCTGGCACAATAAGCTGTGCAGAAACTCAACCAGATTCTCACCACTTACTTTAGGAAGTCGGGTTGGAGGCTCTGGGTACGATTTCCCGGTCTTGGTGTGCATCCTGAAGAAATTTATTACTGAAAAAAATGCGCAAACTTCCACCGCTTTTCCAGATTGTTGGAGGCTCTTTTCGAAGTTTCTTTGTTCAAAAAAAAAAAAAAAAAAGCCAAACAAGGTTACAGGAATCATGAAATGTATGTTTTCACTGAAGAAATTAGTGCTAGAATCAGAAAACCAATAATATTTTGTATTCACAAAAAATTTAGAATTAGTTTTTAAAATATCAGCTTGTAATAGGTAGGGCCATTTTGAATACTATTTGATGGATGGCTCTGGGTGGGTGTAGGCACTGTCAAGTATCCAGGTAGCCATGTGCACTGTCTATTGGGTAGCTCCTTAGAAGTGGAATTGTGGTGTCAGCGGATTAGATAATTTCATACTTTTGCTTAGGTAATGACGAACTGTCCGTCAGAAGAAGATTGTACCATTTTAACTCACACCAAGAGTCCACAAGTGTGCCTGTTTGCCTACACCCCTGCTACACTGAACTTGAATCCTTTGCTAGTCTAAGAAGTCAAAATGTGACACATAGTGCTGTGGTTTGATTCCTCGGTGCCCGTGGAGATTTTCAAGGATCCATGACATCTCTAAGACTAAGAGTAGATGACCAAGAGACCCTAGATTAGGCAGCAGGGGAGGGGGCAGGAGGGCTGCAGTCCCAGCTCTGCATTTGAATAGTGTCACTCAGGACCAGTTACTGCCCCCAGCCCTGCCTGTCATGAGATGAGGCCCATGTCCTCGGGCTCTTGGGAGGATGACATCAGATGAGGTCCAGAGCTGAGCTTGGTCCTCACCCAGGTCCTTGCTCTGCATGTGTGATGTGGCCCAATTTCTGTTCTAGGTCTTCCACCTCAGGTTTCTCTCTTTAGAAGTGGGAACTGTGAGGTTCAGAGACTCAGAAGCTCAGTCAGGCCATATGAGTTCTAGGACTGCAGCTGGAGACAGCGGGCCAGCTCTGCCCCTTCCAGCTCTGGGGGACTCTGGGTTTCCGCTCCTTTATGTAAAGGGGAGGAGCTGAAAGTCTGCCAGGGCACGTGGAAATGGAGACACTGTGTGGGCGCTGTGTGAGGCTGTGGGAGGATAAATCACATCCTCAGGGCTGGTGTCAGTCTTCTGGTGCTGTGAGGGCCACAGGGTACATGGTATCCTCCTACCCGCTCAGTTGCTGCCACCTGCTTATATTGGCACCATGGTGTCAGCTCCCTTGGGTGGGGCAGGAGCTTTTGAAGGACAGGGTGGTGGGCTATGCTGGAGTGGGTCACAGAGGAACACGGAGGAACCCAAGGTGCAGCTGCTGACAGTGATGGCAGTGCAGGGCCTCAGGCCTAGTGCATCCAATGACTTCAGCTGTCCTGTCTGGTGAGCACCTTGCACAGGTGCAGTGTGAAGAGTGAGCAGGAAAGGTATCAATCCAGGAGACTGGTCAATTATGCTGGCTGAGAGAAATCTCACAATCTGCTGTCAGTAGACCAGAGAACCAGGAAAGTGGGTGGAATAATTCAGGCCGAATTTGAAGGCCTAAGAACCAGGGGTGCCAATGTGTAGATTCTAGTCCAGGTAGAAGGTCTGAGAATCAGGAGCACCAAAAGCAGTAGAAAAGGGATGCCCCAGCTTAAGTGATCAGACAGGGCTGAATTCTCCCTTCCTGCGTTTCGGTTCCATTCAGGCCCACAAAGGACGGGATGATGTTCACCCATCATCCTGCTTTACTGAATCCACTGATTCACATGTTAATTTCATATAAAAACACCTCACACACACACACACAGAAATAATGCTTAGCCAAATTTTGGCCACACTGACGGGGTCAAGATCACACATGAAATTAACCACAATAGTGTGGTTTTCTTTACATTGGGGTTTGCTCAATTTCTTTGACCTTTGGCTTTATAGTGTGTAACTAACTTGGAAGATTTAGGCCATTATTTCTTCAAATAGTTTGTCATCTCTCTTTAATGGAACCCCAAATGCATTTATGTAGGAATCCTTGATATTGTCCAGAGCTAATTATTTAGGACCTGTTCATTTTTTCCTTCATTTTCTCTTTATATTTCATTTTGGATAGTTCCTATCGCTCTGTCTTCAAGTTCATTGATCTTCTGCAGTACCTAATCTGCTGTTAACTCCATCCAGAGTATTTTTCATTACAGATATTGAATTTTTTTAATATTGACAAGTTTCATTTGAGTCTTTTTAATATCTTCCATCTCTCTCCTGATCATGTTCATGTTTTCTTTGATATCTGTGGGTATATTTATATGATTTAGATGACCTGTTTTAAGTTCTTTGTCTAAATTCCATTATTTCTGTCAGTGGTAACAATGTCATGCTGAGGGATGGCCTAGATCTATAAGTTCCTAAAGCCAGGGATCCAGTTTTCCCTGGGTGGACATTGATCACACCAGGACTTTTATTTTATTTTATTTTTTAATTTATTTTTTGGAAGGTGTAGGTGGTAATTAGGTTTATTTATTTTATTCATTTATTTTTTAGTGGAGGTACTGGGGATTGAACCCAGGACCCTGTGCATTCTAAGCATGCACTCTACCGCTGAGCTATACCCTCCCCCACATCAGCACTTTTAAAGATAATTGTTTGCCCATTGGAAAGTGAACCAGATGTACGCATGTTCTCTAACTTGGTGAAATTTAATTAGAAAGCAATTAAAAAAAACCTATAAAGCCCCCCAATTTTTGATTATGAACCACATACTTTAAAATTATTTATGGTTCAAAAAACAAAATATAACAATAAAAATATGACATCAAAACTTGTAGGATGCTGCTAAAATGGTGCTTAGATGAAAATGTATAGTTTTCATGCTTTCATTAGATAAAACGGGGTAGATTAAATGAGGAATGACTTCTCATGGTATGGAGATTTTTTGGAGGGGTGATGGAATGTTCTAAAATTCATTCTAGTTGTGGTTGTATGACTATGAATATATTAAAACAATTGAAATGTATACTTTAAATGAGTGGTTTATATGAGTAATTATACTTAGTAATTATGTGAATTATATCTTACTAACACTGTTAAGAAAAAAAAGAAATATATAAAAATATATGACCTGAAGACCATATTCATATATATATGAAAAATTTAATATATATATATATATATAAAATATAAATGTATTTCTTATTACATCACAAATACAAACAATAAAAGAATTGACAAAATGGAAAGCTGGTTTTCTGAAAGGATCGACAAAATTAATAAACCTCTAACTAGACTAACAAAAAATACTACTTATCAGGAATTAATGATGGATATCAATCAACTCTGTATCCATTAAAAAGATATAAAGGGAATTTTATGAAAAACGTTATGCCAATAAATTAGATGACTTGGATGAAATGGATAAATTCCTTGAAAAATAATACTTAGCAAAATGGACACAATATGAAGATATAACCTGAACTATCCTGTACCTATTTATGAATTGCAATTCATTATTTAAAACCTTATCACAAAGAAAACTGTAGGCCCACGCAATTTCACTGGTAAATTCTATAAACATTTATGGAAGAAATCACACCAATCTTACACAAATTCTTTCAGAAAACATGAGTTCTTCCATAGTTTATGAAGCCAGCATAACCTTAATACCTAAACCTAACAAAAACATTTGAAAAGAAGAAAAATACTTTTCAATATCCTTCCTAAAAACAGAGGCAAAAATTCCTTACCAAAACTAATAGTAAGGGGGGAGGGTATAGCTCAAGTGGTAGAGGGCATGCTTAGGAGGCCGGAGATCCTGGATTCAATCCCCAGTACCTCCTCCAAATATAAATAAATAAGCCTAATTACCTCCCCCTCATGAAACAAACAAACAAACAAAAAAGAAAAGAAAAGAAAAACAAATAGTAAACTCCATACAGCAATATTTAAAGAAGAAAACATATCAGGGTTAATCTCAAAAATAAGTGTTGGATCAACATCTGAAAATTAATCAGTGCTTTTCACTATATTAGTGTGAAGGAGAGAAACTATATTAACAGCTTAACACACACAAAAAAGCATTTGACAACCCTTAACCCCCTTTCATGATAAAAGCTCTCATTAATTTCAGGGCAGAAGACAAGTTCCTCCATCTTATGAAGGCCACTTCCTCTTGGTGTCACAATGGCAGATTAGGATAATCTAAGAAGGGGCCTGAGAAATGTTCTGTGGTAACCCGAACTTTCTGTGATCTAGAGAGATTTGGGTCTCACAAGAGCATGCTTTTTTTTAAAAAACACTTTGAGTGGTACCCTTAAGAATTGTGCGTTTCTGTCTTTGTAAATATTAACAATGAAAAAAAAATATTAAGGGTTGCAGACATCTGAATTTCATCATAGAAATAAGGCAGTTAGATGAATGGACAGAAGGATGGTTAGAGAAAGAAATACGTGCTAAAGCAAATATAGCAAAATATTAGTTACAGAATCTAGGTCGTGAGAATATGGGAGTTCACCGTACAAGTTTTTAAACTTTGTCAGATGCTTGAAAATGTTCGTAATAAAATGTTGAGGGAAGGAGTCTGTGAGAGGAGAGCCAGGGAAGACTGGAGGGAATAGGATTGTGAGGGCTGGGAAAGGAGATTCCACTCGCTTGTGGGCACTCAGAGGAGGTGCAGCCTGGGGAAGGGGTGACTTGGGGGACACACGTGATTTTAGTTGTCCCCAGACACTGGATGACTTTTACGTGGAAGAGGCTGCATTTTACCGGGTGTAGACCCAGAAAGTTGAACTGGGCCCAATGTGAGCTGTTTCCATTTTAACTTTTTCTTTCTTTTTTTTGTTTAATTTAACACACCCTTCAAAATCAGAACGTTAACATCAACGTATTACTACCATCTAAGCCTCAGACTCCACTCAGATTTTTTTGACTGTTCCCATTTTGTCATTTTTAGCACGGATAGCTTGACCACATACCCTGAACTGCTGTTTGCTTTCTCTGTGTGGCTCTTTGGTATTTTGTGGGACACTGACAGTCTCCTTTTGGGGACAACTTGTCAGGTTTAAACTGGAAGTTCATTACTGAAAGTGTGATTCTGTATTCTGATTTTGAAAAAGTGTTCACAGAGTATAACCTTCACTTGTAAAAATATGTGTGTCTGAGAGAGAGAGAGCCTGAGAGAGTATTCACACATGTGGTCAAACAGAAGAACCAAAAGACACAAAATAATGAATGTTTTCTCTAATCGAGGGGAACCCTGTGGTTTCTGCATTCTTACAAAAACTTTCCTTGCCCACATTTTTTGGAATAAACATATTTTATTATAAAAGAAAAGAATACTGGAAAAAATTTAAATGTAACTTACTTGCTAGCACCAAAGGCCAAGGGACAGACGTGAATAGAAAAGAATAAGAAGTTAGAACAAATAATCCTAAAATTTATATGAAATCACAAAAGACCCAGAATTGCCAAAGCATTACTGAAGAAAAAGAATGAAGCTGGAGGAATAACCCTCCCAGACTCCAGACAATACTACAGAGCTACAGTTATCAAAACAGCATGGTATTGGTACAAAAACAGACACATAGATCAACTGAACAGAATAGAGAGACCAGAAATAAACATAAACATTTGGTCAATTAATCTTTGACAAAGGAGGCAAGAACATACAATGGAGTAAAGACAATCTCTTTAGCAAATGGCGTTGGGAGAACTGGACAGCTGCATGTAAATCAATGAAGTTAGAATACTCCCTCACACCATACATAAAAATAAACTCAAAATGGCTTAAACTCTTAAACATAAGACAAGACACCATAAACCTCTTAGAAGAAAACGTAGGCAAAACATTATCTGACAAAAATCTCAGCAATGTTCCCCTAGATCAGTCTACCCAAGCAATAGAAATAAAAGCAAAAATGAACAAATGGGCCCTAATTAAACTTATAAGCTTTTGCACAGCAAAGGAAACCATAAGCAAAACAAAAAGACAACCTACAGAATGGGAAAAATATTTGCAAAAGATGAGACTGACAGGGGCTTAATCTCCAGAATATATAAACAGCTCATACAACTTAAAAAGAAAAAACCAAACAACCCAATCCAAAAACGGGCAGAAGACCTAAACAAGCAACTCTCCAATGAAGACATAGGAGTGGCCAAGAGGCACATGAAAAAATGCTCAATATTGCTAATTATCAGAGAAATGCAAATCAAAAGTACAATGAGGTGTTACCTCACACGTCAGAATGGCCATCATTCAAAAGTCCACAAACGATAAATGCTGGAGAGGCTGTGGAGAAAAGGGAACCCTCCTACATTGTTGGTGGGAATGTAGTTTGGTGCAGCCACTATAGAAAACAGTATGGAGATTGCTCAAAAAACTAAAAATAGACTTACCATATGATCCAGCAATCCCACCCTGGGCATATACCCAGAGGGAACCTTAATTCAAAAAGACACATGCACCCCAGTGTTCAGAGCAGCACTACTGACAATAGCCAACACATGGAATCAACCTAAATGTCCATCAACAGATGACTGGATAAAGAAGCTGTGGTATATTTGTACTGGAATACTATTCAGCCATAAAAAGAATAAAATAATGCCATTTGCAGCAACAAGGATGAACCTGGAGAATGTCATTCTAGGTGAAGTAAGCCAGAAAAAGAAAGAAAAATACTACATGATATCACTTATATGTGTAATCTAAAAAAAAAAGATAAATGAAATTATTTACAAAACAGAAACAGACTCACATAGAAAACAAACTTACAGTTACCAGAGGGGAAGTGGGTGGGAAGGGATGAATTGGAAGTTTGAGATTTACGGATACGAATATATAAAAAATAAACAAGTTTATACTGCATAGCACAGGGAACTATATTCAGTATCTTGTAACTTACAGCGAAGGAGAACATCAAAATGAATATATGTATGTTCCTACATGACTGAACTATTGTGCTGTACACCAGAATTTGACACAACACTGTAAACTGACTATACTTCAATAAAAATATGTATTAAAAAAAAAGAAGAAACCAACCTTGCTGACAACTTGATCTTGGGACTTCCAGCCTCCCATACTGTGAGAAAATAAATGTCCGTTGTTTAAGCCAAAAATAAAGAAAGAAAAGAAAAGAAAGAAGTCTTCCCAATGTAAAAAGGAAAAGAAAAGAATGAGTTTAGAGCTGGAAGAAAGGTCCCAGTTCTGTTCAGTTTTGCAGGCTGAGGTCGAGGGAATGTGGGATGGATCCTGGGAGGGATGACAGTCTGGAAGCCACTCATGCCTGTCCCTGCTTTGTCCCCATAGGTTGCAGCTGCCTTAGCCAAGCCCACAGGGCAGGACCGCATTCACCAGCAATCAGCTGCCTCACCAGGATCGAAGCGCAGCTTCTGGAAGTTGTGTCCGCCAGGTAAATTCTCAGACTGATCTCCAACCCTTACCCTACCCTCATCTCCACGTCTTTCTGGCCTTCTGATCCCTGCAGTTCTGGTTCTTATTTCACTGGTACTCACTGGAAGCCTTCTGTGGGCCAGGCACTGTGCTAGTGGAGGGCACAAGGCCCCTGCCCTCCTGGAGCTCTCCTCCTTAGATGGTACCCAGACAGAGGGCTGAACGTGAAAGTCAGAGAGATGAGACAGGAATCATGAGAATAACTGAGTGATGGATGGGACAGAGATGAGGTTGGCGAGACCTCCTGGGCATGGTGACTTTGATGCAGAGAGCCACTCGCTGGTGCAGAGAGCCAGGGAGAGTGCTTCTGAGAGGGCCCCCAGAAACCATCACCACAGGGGGCAGGGCTGGGCTTATTTGAGCAAAGACAGGGGGCAGCTGGGGTGAGTGGAGGGTGAAGAGGTCACAGGGACAGGTGAGGGGCAGATTACACACCCTGAACACTGTGAAGGGAGCATAGGTTTTATTTATTTACGTATTAAAGTAAAATATCAATGTTTTATATGGATTACACATTGAATTGATACTATGTTGGGATCTCTTAGGTTAAAAAATACATGTTAAAATTAATTTAAACCCCTTTTTTTAGTCTCTAATACGCCAACTATGAAAGTAAGTTTTAACTTGGCTTGTACTATATTTCTGCTGGCAGTGCTGGTCTAAGGTGTGTGGTAAATGTAGAATTAAAAGATTAAGGTCAGGCACAGGAGAGTTGCCCATTGGGATTTCACTGATGGTCAAAAGGGGCATCCCCGGCCACACTGCCTGCTCTGGGAATCCTGTGGGGATTTACTCACCAGCTCTTTCCTTCCTTGCCAGGATCTCATATGGCAGAAGCCAGTGGAGAGTGTATACGGTGCACGGATGGGGTGGATTACACCAGTCATTCAAACGCCCTGTCTTCTTGCTTACTGTGTAGGGGCTGCAAACCAGGTACAGAGCATGTGGCCCCCATGCCTACAGTTAGGGTGCTGGGTGATGAGATGGGATGTGAATGAAACTGGGAGTCAGAAACCTGATTTCAAGCCCACCTAGGTCTTCATCTTACTCTGTCTTAGGTCAGTAAAATCAATGAAAACAAATTATTTGTATAACATATGCCAAAGGGTAGGGAAATCTTTCAGAACATCACTTGGAAGGAGGGGAATAATCTGTCCCTTGACAAAGGGGCTGCACAGTTACAGCACAGAAGGCCTGGGTCGGGGGACAGGGCTGGGTTTGAGCTGGGTGGCAGGTCTGACCCTGGACCAGGCCCCTCTGAGCCCTGTGCCCTCTGTTCTGGATCTCAGCCTCTCAACCTTCATGACCTACGGTCCTTCCACCTCTCTAGCAGGCCTAAGTGTTGGGAAGTTGCCCAAGGGTTCCTCTCCATCCAGAGTGGCTCAGATTCCATCTCCCCCAACCCCACCTCTTGTTCCTGATTTGTGACCTAAAACATTTTTCTTCCCAACCCCGATCTGATATGTCATGACCCTTTATACTCCTCTACTGGTGACAGGTGAACAGCGGCTGTCTTTTGTGTGCTCTGTGTGTGTGGCTATAGGAAATGGCCCACGAATTTCCTCTTGAACTGAGTGGGTGGGGGTTTGGGTGGTGAAGGAGGGTAAAGGGACACGTGAGGGAAACACATCCCCATCTCCTTAACTTTGGTCTCCAGGGGAAGAAGAGAAAAGTCCCTGCACCGCAACCAAGGACACCAAGTGTCAGTGCAAACCTCACACTTTCCGTGGAAAAGACTCCCCTGAATTCTGCCACAAGTGCAGCACCGGGTGAGACACCAGAGTCCAGGAGGCTCCAAGCCCACAAAGGACTCGAGTTCCATGTACCCCTTCCTCTCTCCTGCCTCCACGCAGCACCCGCCACCCACAACCTCAGGGCTCCCCCGTGCGTGTGGGTCTCCTGAGCCTGCAACAGCCTTCCTTGTCCATCCGCGTGTCCTACATGGCTCCCACAGCGGCCTGTTCCCACGGTCCTAAGCATGGGTTCCCTTGGCTGGGTTGAGTATCTCATTGGGCACTGTAGGCCACTGATGAAGGATCACAGAAATGATTTATTTTGTTTTGAAATCTGAATGAAAAATGGAATGGAATCTACCTGGCTTATAAAATCTTTATTCCAATTGTGATAGATTTCTTAATGCTTTCTTATTAGGGAAAGGGCCCATGAAGACAAAGCCATAGCCAAGTCATGATGAGACCGAGCATGTAGCTCCTTCAAGTTT